CAACAATCTGCACGATTTCTGGTGGACGTTGAAGGTTTTCATCCTAACGGTTTGGCATCCAGCTGCCTGCGGCAAGTCCCGCCACTGTGCCAGCCCAGCAGCTTGGGTGGCGACTGTTCGGGGGCGCGCAGGAGTCCGTAATGTGTGACACACTCTTCTGCATCGTGTCAGGGGTTCTCTTCTCACCTTCGTCGTCTTGCTCCCTCTCCTCCGTCCCTTCTTTCTCGGGCTCCTGTGGGGCAGCCGTGAGGTCCCCTGGTCCACCTTGGGCTGCCATAGGGGCTGCTCTGGGGCTCTCTTGGGCCGGCCTGGGGCCCTCTTGGTCGTCTCGGGGTCCCTCGCCTCCGCTGTGGGGCTGTCTTGGGCCGTCGAGGGGCCCTCTAACGCGGAGGAGGAGGAGGAGGAGGAGGAGGAGGAGGAGGAGGAGGAGGGAGGAGGAGGAGGAGGAGGAGGAGGAGGAGGAGGAGGAGGAGGAGGAGGAGGAGGAGGAGAGGAGGAGGAGGAGGGGAGGAGGAGGAGGGAGGAGGAGGAGGGGGAGGGGAGGGGGAGGGGGGGGAGGGGAGGGGGAGGGGAGGGGAGGGGGAGGGGGAGGGGGGAGGAGGAGGAGGAGGAGAGGAGGAGGGAGGAGGAGGAGGAGGAGGAGGAGGAGGAGGAGGAGGAGGAGGAGGAGGAGGAGGAGGAGGAGGAGGAGGAGGAGGAGGAGGAGGAGGAGGAGGAGGAGGAGGAGGAGGAGGAGGAGGAGGAGGAGGAGGAGGAGGAGGAGGCCTCCCTGGGGCCAGCTTGGGGCTCCCCTGGGGGCCGCCCTGGCCGGCCATGGGGGGCCCTCCTCGGGCCTCTCTGTGCGGGCCCCGCTGGGAAGCTCTCTCGGGTCGCCCCCTTTTGGGCCGCCTCGGGCCTCTCGGGCCGCCTCTTTCCTCCTCCACCTCTTTCCTCCTTCTTCCTTCCTCCTCCTTCCTTCCTCCTCCTTCCTCCCTCCTCCTCCACCTCTTTCCTCCTTCCTGTCTCGAGGACCTCTTTGGGCCGTCCCGGGGCCATCTTTGGAGGCATTTTTGAGGCCACCTTGGCGGTCTTGGTCTTCTTGGCCGTCTTGGGCCTCTCGGATCGTCTTGGAGGCATTTTTAGGCCACCTTGGCCGTCTTGGGCCATCCTGGATCGTCTCGGAGGCATTTTTAGGCCATCTTGGCCGTCTTGGGCCATCCTGGATCGTCTTGGAGGCATTTTTAGGCCACCTTGGCCGTCTTGGGCCATCCTGGATCGTCTCGGAGGCACTTTTAGGCCACATCTAGGCGGTCTGGGTGGCCGGCCTCGGGCGTGATGGTTCCCGGGAAGGGCCAGGGTTAGGTCGGGCCTGTCCCCCTACAGGGGGATTTTCGACGAAAAAATAAACAATACCCCCCAAAAAATAAAAATGCTCCAAAAATAGCTTGGGGACTATTTTTTGACTATTTTTTGACATTTTTGGCGTATTTTTGGTGTATTTTTATTTTTTCGTCGAAAATCCCCCTGTAGGGGGACACGCCCGACATAAGGCTAGGGTGTTCTTTTGTGTCTTGGTCGCCCATGTGGATGGCGAACATGAGGATTGGTTGAGGATGTCTCGGGCCAAACGCTGGTTTTCGTGTGTCCAGGTCGCCCATGCAGATGTCTGACATGAGAGCTGAGAAGGCCTTTCTGTTGGTGCCGCCGACCCTGGAAACATGCCCCCATGATGAAAGTGCCAGCCGGAGTTGTTCGGGAATGTTGGGCCAGACGCCCCGAATAGTTCCCCTGAAGCCCCTTCAGGGATCCAAGATGCTTATGACGAGGAGCACAGCTTGGTCAAGCTATCTGCCTATGTGCTTTGACAGCCGCTGGGGGAGGAAAAGGGGGGAATCAGGAGAGGGAGGAGGAGGAGGCAGATGAGGAGAAAGAGGAGGAGGAGGAGGAGGAGGAGGAGGAGGAGGAGGAGGAGGAGGAGGAGGAGGAGGAGGAGGAGGAGGAGGAGGAGGAGGAGGAGGAGACCTCTTTGGAGCCTCTTTGGGGCGGGGAGCCTCCTCAGACTCAATGGCGGCCTCTTGCCGCCATCCGGGATCGTTTTGGAAGTCCATCCTGGATCGTTTGGGCGGCTGTGCAGCGCCATCCTGACCATCTGGGAGGCGGGCCTGGTCGTCTCCTGGAGAATTCCGTGGGGGCCCTCTGGGGGCTCTTTTGGGGCGTTCGGGCGATTTGGATTGACTGGTGGCTCACGGCCCATCCCGCCACCGTGCCTTGGTATGATACTGTTAGGGACCTTCTGGCAACCCTATCTCCGGGCTCTGTTGGAGACTTGACGAGGGGCCCCCAAAGGCACGAAGAGTCTCTAAAAGGCTTGAGAGGGCCCCTTATGAGGGGTCCCGAACCAGCTCGCAACAATGTCATGCTAACGGTTCCTGGTATGATACTGTTGAGGGTTTGCTTGGGCTTCTGTGGGGGCCCTCTGGGGGCTCTCTGGGGGCGCTCGGGCGATTTCAGGCCCCTCTTG